AGAGACGAGACTTGCCGGTGCCCGTTGCACCGATCACGATTACCACTTTATTGTCCTTCTGCGTAGCGGCGCGGAAGCTGAAGGAATCCATGGAATGGCCGAGGCCACCTCCGGCGCTGCTGGGGAGGCTGGTGATCATCGGCCTGAGCTGCCTCGTCGTGGTGAAGGGGGCCGCCGCCACCGTCGTTAGGCAGGCTTGCTTGGGCACCGAATGGACCACCATTATCGCCGTTATCTAACCTCAGAATTCACAGAAACCAGAGAAAGATTAACCACAAGGTTCAAGACGAGTTTCTGAATGAAGAGCGAGCGTGTGTGTGTGTGTGTGTGTGTGTGTGAGAGAGAGAGAGAGAGAGAGAGAGAGAGAGAGCTGTGGAAGGAGGGGGTAGGGAGATGGAGGAGGGCTCAGGCTTTGACGATTTGAAACCGACTGAAGGTCTCTATATATACCGAGAGACTACCCCCATACATGAAAAAGTAAGCCTCTATAAATTATAATCAAAGGTACGTAGTCTGTCAGTGTCTGTTATTTATAATTGGGCACCCTCCCATTTGCATTCTTCAGTATAAACTTATCTAAGTTGTTAAATACTTATATTATATATATATATATATATATATATATATATATACATATAGCTCTTCAAATGATGTAGTGCCCAAATATTAAAAAGCAGAGGCAACAGATATGCTACAAAACGGCAACTAGACGCGGCGACAGGGCTTACGAGGCAATGAATGGATGAGACGGAAACCAAACTCCGCTTTCCGGTTATTTTACGTGCGGCCTGTCTATCTTCTGCTATAGTTTTTTTCCCACAACCTGCCAGTATTGCTCCAGCGAAGAAGGCGAATTGAAGTTCAGAAGGATACGGAGGGACGCGGTGGGGAGGAAGCTGAGACGAAGGTCAGAAAGAGGCGAGAAGGGGCGAATGGGAAGGAAGAGGAATGGAAAGCACGGGTAGATGGAGGAGAGGGGAAGACGTGCCCTTTTTATAGTTTCCAACGCGTGAGGACTGGCAGCCCCACACGTGTGAGGCATCCAGAGGCATTTTCATCCCGTGCGCCCATCATTCGTGCCTGTTGATGCAATGTATCGAGGAGGACAAATGCGACTTGACTTCCCTGCCGATGTGCTGGCGGCCCCTCTCTTTGGCCAATGGCCTACGTTTATCATGGCCGTCTTCATCCTCTAGGGCTCTGGTAGCATAAGAAAAATACTGAGTATTAATGTAAGACGGGAAAGTAGAAGATGGGCATGCATATCTAGAAGAAAACAACTAGAACAGGTAAGAAGAATAGAGAGAGTTGGAGGCTTGTGAAGGAGGGAGTGAAGGGGGGTGGGGGGGGTGGAGAGAGAGAGAGAGAGAGAGAGAGAGAGAGAGAGAGAGAGATTCAAGAAAATAGGCTGGTCACCGCATGGTGATTAACATATTTGAGGAGGAGCACTTCTGGAATCATTTTTTAAGTAGAAGTGCGCCTTTGACAAGTTTTTCTTAATCGATGGTAGCTCCTATCTGAACGCATCCCACTTCTAACGCTAAAAGCGGCATCCATCCAACATAAGATCGCAGAAATAATCAGATTATGAGCGCGTTAGGGATTAAACTGCCCTCTGATCATGACCGCTGTGAGAGAACGTGGGCTTCAATTCTTAATGCAGCGGGTGCATCTTGTGCGGGGTTAGAGAACGTGGATTTTCTTTTTAGCGAGACAGAATGTTAGGAGGGTTCTCTGCCTAATAACAGATTAGGCATGCTTCTTTAACCATTAAATCTCAAACGAATCCAACGGGGTACGCGTGTGTATATGTGTGGTAGAGAGAGAGAGAGAGAAGAAGAAGAAGAAGAAGGAGACGAAAAAAGAGAGAGCAAGAGACAACTGGGTTCAGGATCCCAAATTCTGAAACCTCAGAGGCGTGAATGGGAACGGCGGAAGATGGCTCGTGAGGAATCGCATGGGGGTCTTAGGCGGCGGGAATTTCTTCAGCTCAAGCAAAGTCGTCGTTCAGAGAGAGGGCATCTGTCAACGCGATCCGCATGGCGCCGAGAATCTCACGTCTTATCCTTCACAGAGGTCCCGATGGCGGCGTTCTTCACATTACTGTGGAAACAAACTCGGAGTTGTCTACTGTTGGGGGCTGTCGACGGGAGAGGCACGCCGTTCATGGTGGGAACGCTTTGCTCCTCCGACTGTGACTTCTATCCCTAGCTGTTTCGTCCTCTATCTATCCCTAGGAGGCTCCTCAGTAGCTTAAGCATTCATCAGTCCAAATAATATAAGTCAGACGATGGCACAGGGCATCTACGAAAGAAAGGAAAAAGTTCAGAAAAGCCTTCCTTCTGGAACGGTGAAGAACGAGGTGGTTGTTGTGCTATAGGCCCAAAAGATTCAATGGGAAAAGACAAATTGGCAAAGTTGACAAAGGGACGGAAGATAGAAACTGCACCAAGTCTAGTCAACAGCTTAAGCAATCGACGATCCTAGTCTTAGGCGCCGAAGGCACATCCTTAGGTGCCCTTTGTCAAATGATTCATGATTCACCTAGGATGGAGCCCGTCAGTTGAATTATGAGGTAATGGATCATCCTTTGCGGCTGGATGCTGAGGATTGGGTGTCAGAAGAAGACTTTTCTTCGCTGGTTCTACGGATTGAAGGGCATAGATAAATACACTGCTTGCACCTCCGTCCAACTTAAGAATTAAGTTGAACAAAGGATCTGTCTTCATAATTACTGATGACATTTATAACACAAAGTATGTTCGAGGGAAAATTATTACAACACAAATGATACATACGTCGAAGAGAAAATCCGCTTTGCCCCCTTCTTGGAGGCGTTGAGGCTGCATCATGTTTCTGAACAACGGAGGTGACCGTGCTTGTTTCATGTCTATCTCAGAGGTTCTTCCTCCCTCCGATAATTCCAGTCTTCGGCATGCGTAACGGTGGCCACAACTATGCTAGATCTACATCTAATACTGAAAGACCTAACGATCAAAGTATGGAGGAAAGTACTGGAAAGGGCCGGAGAGCAATGGCTGGTATTCTAGCCCTTGCTGGGTCATTATTCTATTGGCACATTGAGAGGACTCTGACAGGAACCAGAACTTCGGTGAGATAGATAAGAAAGGTGGGGATCCTTCAATCATAGGACTTGGCTGAAGGAGCCCACATAAATTTATATATCTTATCATTGGGAGAGCACTTCACCTGACCTCCACATCACCTCACGGCTCGAAAGTAGAAGAAAAGACGAAGAGAAGTAAAATACGACCTAGTCTTTTTTGTCCTTTCGATGGCCCCCGGAGCTGTTGCCCTCATCATTTATACTGCCCTTGGAAAGAAAAAACTTATGTTGTACTGGAAAGGGTAAAAGATGGAGAGGCTTTAATGGTCACTTCTTCGATGAGTAGGGATGGGGGATCTACCCGTGCAATAAATAAAAATAAAACCCATACTAGAACAACGATAGTGGCCAACTTAGAGAAAAGCTAGTAAATGAGCTCTCCCACTAAGGCTCTTATATGTAATGGTGCGTTTGAGAGAAAGAGAGATGCCCTACCACCTGAGCGAGCTGAGGCACATAACCTAATCCAGACAGGACGAATATTATTTTTCAAGCTAAATTTTATGATTAAAGTTGAAGTACCCAAGACCATTGCCATGAAACCAGTGTGGGACATGTGCCAACGAATTTACGTATTAATTACCCACATTAAGGACCGTCTTAACTCCTCTCCATCACTCTTTCTTCAATGACCCTTTATCCCCCCCACCCCCACGTGGCACCACACGCTCCCCCTTTATAATTCTCTGAAACCTGTCATTCATCGTTCCCATTAAAGACATTGCTACTTGACACTTTTCCAAGGGGTCAACATCACACCAGTCCTGAGAGAGAGAGAGAGAGAGAGAGAGACTCGTTCACGTGATGTGATTCTCAACGTCGTCTACCACGCGGCCAGAATCCTGTTCTCTATACGTGCTCAGATTTTGCCTTTAAAGCAAGATAAGCGTAGATATTCGTCTTCCAAAACACATTCGGGAAGAAGACAGAGATCATGCGGTGCGTAGTTCTCAGAACCCCTATTGCCCAAGCTCACCTCAAGTGGGGATAATCGAGAGAGAAAGCAATAGAGAAATTCTCTTCCTAACAGTGTAATAACGTTCGTGAATCTCTTGTCCCTCCCTCTATAAGTGTGATGTTAACCTCCGCATCTGATGCTCTGGAAGATGGTGGGATCAGTCGAGACAAAATCAGAAACAGATTCACCGGAAAATTTGCCATCACACCATACACAAGGGGCGCGAAAAAGAACGGCCCTACAGCCGCCGCATGCCCAGAGAAACGAGGTACCTAGTTATTCCCATCATTTGTCAGGCTACATGTCACTACCTGAGAGAGAATTTGTTGTTTTGTAAACCAAGCGGACGCAACGCGGACCAAAACAACTCTCTCTCTCTCTCTCGTACTCTGGAGATACGAAGGTTCACTGTTAGAGACTGACCCATCTGCATCAATTCAGATGCGCTGCATGTGGCGACAACTACTCCCATTGACGCAGAGGTCAACATCGCGATGTGACTAACGTTTCTCTATTTGTTCTTTGCTTGTTTAACTGAAGAACCCAAGTAATAGTGCTGCGAATCCAGTGGGTAAGAGTGGAAAGAAGTAGCTGTTTTGGTGATACAAGTGTTCGGCGAGTAATGCTTCCATTTTCTACAAACTTTCTCCGTATAGTGCAGAGTTGATATTGGTTTTATGAAAAGTTATGGTTTCGATACAAGATAAGGATACTTGGGAAACAACCTCAATCAAGATTTCAGAAAGTCAGAAATAAGAGAGATAAGTTCTCCTTCATAGTACTAGTCCACAGAATTGACGGGGAATTTGAGATATGATTTTGGAAAACCCTGATCTAGTTGAGAGAAACCTCTCCTCGTCCATTTTTTATCCTGTTTTAGGCGAAATATAACCCCAGTTTTTTCCCTAGATACCAACTAAGGGTCTTTAAGAATACACTGGTAAAGGTTAACGAATTGAGCCATCTTAATCCAAACATTTCACAGTGAATAAAGTGATAAGACATCTTTAAATGTTATTTTGCAGACAATAATGGGAGATGCACACGATCAATCAATAATCATTCAGTCCGATACATGTTAGCCTTTTATAATCTGATAAAAAACTAATAGAAAAAATTATAGTATTCTGACTTTAAT